ACAGGGAAACTAAGTTTTTTTCGCCAGGTGACGTCTGGTCGTCAATCTCGCTAGAATGGGGACAAAAAGGTCAGGTAAATGTACCGCGCTTGCTGAACAAGAGCTAAGAATCTTCTTCGAAAATATATATTTGATCGGGCGGCTCGGGCACTGCGATCACAAACAACCCGATCAGATCCGACCCGATCAGATCTGTCGCGATCAAACTCGATTGGGCCCACGTCGTGATTTTCAAAATGAATCTTCACCGTTCGGCCCTTCCACTGTTCACACACATTCCGCCGGTCGTGAGACTGGAGCACAGAGCATTCTACACCTTGTTCTCGATAATTTGACACCCCTTAATCGCACACCCTAGGGTAATTACCCTAGGTCAAACGTTTTCATATGGTAGTTAATCACTTTTAGGAAATTCTGGGAAAGGGTCCGACATACTTTCGCGAATTGGCGGGGAGCAACAAGAATACAAAAGCAACCCGAACCGACCCTAGCCCTCAATCCTTTTGGTTTTATCAAGGCCCTCAATCTCTGGGTGTCCGTCACGTTAAGCCAAAAAGCGCAAGGGGTGCCTACGAAAAAAAGGGTAGGGGGTGTGCAATCATCGCGAACAGGGTGTAGTGGAAACTGCAGATAGTTGGAAGACTTGAGGGTGCATTCTGGGCTCTGGTCAATCCCCTGGTGTGGTTTTTCGAGTCCGTCGAACCTTGCACTGCTACGGGAACGTTTTTGGGTAGCCCTTGTCGAGGAGAAAAGGCCCCGCCCTCGCTTGGGCGAAGTCGACGAGGCATTCGGAACAAAACAGTGTTCGTTTCGTGGTCATCGGCGACTTCGGGGACTTTTATCTGTGTGCGTCGAGCCGTTTGTCGACGAGATTAATTGGTCGAGGTAGAAGTGTTTCTTCTGCTCGATCAAAGTCCTCGTCTAGAAGGAGCTCGTCGACGGGAGTAAAATGGCGTCGAAGACGAGCCTTTCTCATAGACGGAATTGGCAGAATTGGTGTTTCGACGGATTCCTGGTCGACAGAATTTAGTTCGACGAGTGTTTTGTCGAGCAGATCGATTCTGGTCGACCAGAATTATTTAGCTCCAAAATTTGCAATGTCCGCGAATTTCGCCCAATCACGGAACAGCAAATTTCGACCAATAAGGTAATTTCGGAGATTGTACTCCCCAGGAGAATTCGATTCAGTAAGGAAGCTGAACCTGAAACACGTTTTTACTAACAGTAAAAACGTGCACAACTATGAACGTTGTAAACCTGAGCAACTACCAACTCAGGTGAAATATGCATGTGCTTGTCGTTTCACCTGCCGTTGCTGACTCGACAGATTCAGGTGCTTGTCGAGGAACGTTTCTACGGGGTTCATTGTCTTTGCTATTTGGTTCTCTTTAATGTACCATATTCTTGTTCTATGAACTTTTGCTAGTGGAACTATGCTTGAATTCTACCAAGGCAACTAAGTCAACTTATGAGAATCACTGCCAGAACTCTGACCGTGTGTCCCACGCTAGTCAAGCTCTCCCGTAGAATAGTATTCTCCGCAGCCCTGATGCTCCCAGGAAAGTATATCCCAGCTCCTTACTTTCATATTTCTCTCATATTTAGCCGCAGGTTTACTCTAAAAGTACCACTTTCTAGAATTTCTCTCACGCGAGGCCAAAAGTATGTTCAAAAATGGTCCTGCAGGGCTAAACTTTCGACACGTGTCTGTTTTCACAGCAGGAATTTCTGATGAGGTAGAAAACATTAAACCCCTTGGGAACCAGGACATTTTTTCGGGAGGGATCAACCCTAAACACGGGAACTCGCTTGGCATTTGGGGTTGATCCCTCCCGAAAATGTGTCCATGGTTTTTTGCCCCGTCAATATATTTTTTGTGCGAAATGGACACGTGTCGTGCCCGGCAGGACCAGTTTTGAACATAAGGGCGTGTCTCTTTTGTTTTTGGCAATTTTTCGGACGGATCACTTTTTTGGTACCGGACGGTCCGAATAGCGAGAACCGGACTGTCCGAGTTGCCATTCGGAACTTTGCCCCGTCCGAGTGCAAGACTGTCACTTTTTTTCAGTGTTTTGAATTTCCCGAAGTACTGTAGTCTCGCTAGAGACACTGTAGCGTCGTTACACAATTCACGATAGCTTTTCTGCAATTTTCGTCAGCCAATCTTATTTTCATATTTTCCAAAAAGTCGCGCGCCAATCTCTAGTTAGTACTGTTGCACCGTCCGTTTGGTTCCTGAAGGTTCAGATTCTGAACCGTTGAAAGGAGTAAAAAGTGACGCGACGGTTCGGATTGTTGGCGACGTCGCACACACTTTCACGAACCATAAAACGAAATTGTACGACGCTGGTAACATTTTCGCAGTTCGGACTGTCCACGGTTCGAACCGTCGGGGTCAAAATGGAGACACGCCCTAATGTAGGCCTCGCGTGAGCGAATTTCACAAAGGTATACTTTTTGGGTAAACTTAGAACTAAATTTGAGATATTTCTGAAACTAAGGAGCTACGATGTACTTTCCCTTCAAACACCTCGATTGTTTTTCTTGCTGAAAAATTGTGGCGATGTTGGGGAAGGTTGGTTTCACCGACAACTCATTGCGATTCGGGAAGTTGACGGCACCGTCGTCAGCACACACGTTCCCGCCGGGCCCAAGCTGAGGCACTCCCTGAACAAACACCAACGGCAAACCCTTCGAATCGAAGGTAGAGTTTCGCCCTGGAATTCTGCTACCCTCCCTAGCCACTCCCTCCCGTTCCGTGTGGAATGTACACTCGAACCGTCAGCCACTGGTTGTTCCTCTCTGCATCCTGATTGGAGAGCACTTGTTTCTGGAAGTTCGCAAGATGCTTAGCGATTTTCGCTGATGTCGCTGAGTTTTTAGACATTGCAGCGCCAACGGGAAACTTTGGAGTAACCCCACGTGGGGGAAGATCACCCCTATCATCATATCCCTCTCCCTTGGACTGCATGGGGTCCATCCAGGAATGTTGGGAACTTGGAATGCAGCAGTCGTCGTGAGAACGGCCTGCTGCGTCCAAGCTTCTGTGCCGTGCTTCCTAGTAGAAAATATCCCGACTCCCGCTTCAGGCCGGCTACAAGAACCATGTGTATGCGCTGCAACAGGAGCTCGTCCCTGACTTAGGGACTTCCTGAGCCGAGATCCCTCGACCGTCGCTGTGCAGCGGCAGGAGATCCACGTGGCGTGGTTCCTCAGCCGACTCGGCTTAGTACTTTCAGCCCACTCAACGATCCGTCGCCGCGGCGGCGTCAGTGCGGCGATGTTGACTCTTAGTACTAAGCTGCATCGCAGCGCGCTGATTTTCGCGTTGTGGCTGCTGGTGGTGGACGCCCAGTGGGGTGATCCCGTATATCTGGAGGAATCGCAAGGTACTATATAGGCGCACCTGTGTGCTGGTAACCGATACTATAGCGCTGCCGGGCCCCGGGCTGGTACTAGTAACGGGGTCTGATTGATACGATGATATTATTTTTGTGTCTTTCTGCCCGCAGTTGATCCGTTGCGCTCAGTTTTTTTCCCTCTTTATGAGTCTCCACTGCGCAGCACAATTCTTGAAAGACTGGACATCTCAGGATTGGTCAGAGGACCCCTGCGATTTTATTTCTTTTGTCTTCTGCGGCAACGACGGCATGATCTATGCAATGTGAGCTCTCGGTTTGATTAGCAAACCAAGTGGTGTTCATTTAAACAGCATTTGAGACACTACCGGCTCTCGTTTTACTAAAACGTAGTACGTTAGAGTGAGTCAACTCATCTTCCGTGGACGCTTGACGCCTGTGACTCTCCAGATAGGACGAGATAGCAAACTTATTCTACATGACAGCTTGTAAACCATCATGTTCATCCCTAATTGTGAACCCATGGTGGTGGTGATGTCGATGGGCGTGCAGGGACATGCGTAACTTTCGGACGGAATCCATTCCAGACTCGATCAGCGCGCTCCAGAAACTCGAATTGATGTAAGTCATGCGCTGCTTCGCGGCCCTGCCGCGCTGCTGCGCGGTTCTTTCAAATCACTTACATTTGAATCTCCTCCTTCCCTGCTTTCCCTTGGTCTGGTTCCCGGCTTAAAATTGGGACACAGCATGCACAGAACATTCTATTTCCTACCTAGTGCGTCATAGCCATAGGGCCACCACCGTCGAGCCGCCACAGCCTTTCTAAGAGCCGCCATAGCCGTAGGAGCCGCCATCCGAGGTATCTAGTAGTACCCCTCAAGAGCAAAAGGAAGGCCGCTTGGTGCTGAAGCAAGCAAGCACTGACAGGGGGTTTGCACGGAACCGGCTTGCGTTCTGCATGCATGGCATTGGCACGCCGTAGCTACGAATCTCCCACCTCTGATGGTCCACCCCTGGCGAAAGTGGTTCTCTGGCTGGAGGACAGAAGTGGCTAGCGGGTTTGCTCTCTCTCCTCTGCTCTCCCACTGTTCCCTTCCCAACAACTTTCTCTTCACTTGCATCCCTCTCTGTTCCCTTCCCACCAACTTTTTCTTCACTTGCATCCCTCTCTTTGCCTTCCTTTCTCGCGTCTACCAGCCGAATAATCGGCTCAACCATTCCAGGCACAATTCCTTCAGAATTGGGGAGCATCACTTCTCTTATGTCCGTGTAAGCTGACACTGCCGGATTTGTACCAGCGGTACTAGTGTCATGTTCAAGGTCATAAGCCGTTTTGTTTCTTCTTCTTCTCCTTCCTTTCGTTCGAATAATTGTTTGTCGTCTCTGTTCTTGTGGATGAGCCTGTGCTTTGTTCCAGTGAGTGAGTCGCGTGTTCATTCCCATCTTTCCCATGCGTTCTTTCCCATTCCACAGAGAGCTGAGCTATATCGAAGGCTTGTCGGGGCCCATACTGCCTGCGCTCATGAACTCGCATAGTATCAGCAGGCTGTATGTAACAGTAACACTTGTCGTGCACTTTCTGTACGATCGGTACGGTACAGGACCCTACTATTGCAACTGAATCTCTTTTCCACCATCAGTATGACACCCGGACATCCCACCAACCCACCAACAGTCTCCCCCTTCCTTCGGTTCCCCTGCCATTCTGACTGCCTCCTTGTCCTCTGCCTGTCCTCTGCATTCTGCTTAACGACCCAATCACAATGAGACCTCTCCTTTCCATTACTTACTAGAGACAGTCACGCAGCAACACGCCACTCACACACGCACGCACGCACGCACGCACATGCACGCGCGCACGCACACGCGCACGCACGCACACGCGCGCGCACACACACATGCTCGCGCACACACTCGCGCACACGCACCCCTGCGCGCGCACCCGCACGCACATGCCCGCACACGCACTCGCACGCACGCATGCATGCACACACAAACATACATCTACCATCCGTCTCGTCCTCCCTCCCTGTTGCCCGTTTTCTTCCGCCCCTGCACCCCGTCTTCTCCACCATAGGGTTATCAACAGGTGCAATCTAGATGGAACCATCCCCTCAGGCATTGGCTCCTTAGCAAGTCTCGAGTACCTGTGAGTTCAGCCTAAAACCCCAAGATCTCTAACCACTCCACACCTCACTTCACCTCAACTTACCTTATTCACATCTTGGCATCATACTATGTTCAGAATGTTTGTTTTCCCTCCTTCGTCCCACCTGTTCCATTCTCTATCCCATCTCCACTATTACCCCTGTCCTCTGAACGAAACCATTTCAGTGCTGCTTCCAGTCTCACCTGATTGTATGCCTGCCCACCTGCCTGCCTGCCATGTCTGCCACATGCACCACGTGTCATTCCAGCCAGCTGTCGGTGAATCAGTTCACGGGACCAATTCCTGATTCCATTGGGAACCTCTGGCAACTTCGGTACTTGTGAGTCGAGCAGAATGCCCTTCAATGACTGTTCCTCACTCTGCAACCTCCCAACGACTTTCCAGCTCTGTGCGTCGTGCAGCAGTGGGGCTTGTTTGGTGTCTAAAAATTAACATTCTATTACGGTAATTATTCGGACGTGATTTGTCACAAGCTCTATCATCTTCCCCTCACAAACACGCATAAACCCATCAACAAACCCATGAACCCACCAATCTAACCACCCTGCAGGGACCTGTCATACAACCAGCTCTCTGGACCCATCCCACCAACCCTCAGCAACCTCGGCAGACTAACACAACTGTATGTATGACAGTCCGCCCTTGTCAATGCCACCCACTGCTTCATGCTAGTTTGTGTACATTTGCTACACACGGACAAAAGCGGCTTTTCCAGAGTGCCCCACAGGAACCTTTCTCCCCCCCTCCCCATCCCCCCTCAACCTTTCTCGCCTTCACCCACAACCTGCCACCTCGGCTCTTCTTCTTTGCGCGATATCTCCAAAGTTCCAACCCTAAACCCTGGCCAGCAGCACTCCGGCCTCACTGTCCTGCTTTCCCTCTGCACTCCCACCTTCCCATGCCACAGGAATCTCCATTCCAACTATCTGACAGACTCCATCCCTTCGATTAGCTCAATGACAGATATGCTCTACCTGTCAGTACCCACCCGCCATGCCCACCTTCCCTGCTTCTGCCATCGCCGCCACTGCATGCACTACTTGCCTTGCCAGGCTGCTGACAGCAATATTATTCCAGCTGCTGGTCTTGCCGGTGTTAGCTCTCCTCCTCCTCCTCCTCCTCCTCCTCCTCCTCCTCCTCCTCCTCCTCCTCCTCCTCCTCCTCCTCCTCCTCCTCCTCCTCCCCTCCTCCTCCTCCTCCTCCTCCTCCTCCTCCTCCTCCTCCTCCTCCTCTTCCTGTTGCTGCTGCTGCTGCCGCTGCTGCTGCTGCTGCTGCTGCTGCTGCTGCTGCTGCTGCTGCTGCTGCTGCTGCTGCTGCTGCTGCTGCTGCTGCTGCTGCTGCTGCTGCTGCTGCTGCTGCTGCTGCTGCTGCTGCTGCTGCTGCTGCTGCTGCTGCCACCATCACAGCCACCTCCCAATCTGCACTCTTCCCTTCAGCAACACCTTTGCACATGCAGAAACATCCCCCACTTCTCATCCTTCCCACGTGTCTCATTCTCCTCCACTGCACCTCTTCTCTCCCCCAGGGACCTAGGCCACAACCGTCTGTCAGGAGACATCCCAGACCTGAGTGCCATGACCAACCTCGGAAGCCTGTCAGCCATTCATACCAAATACATGACAGATTTTCCTCAATGCTTCTCTCCCCCGCCTTCTCACCCGCTCTCTTCCTTTCCTCTCACGCTCTCACTCTCGCGTTTCCTCGCCCTCTGCTCCCTCTGGCACCGCCCTTGGACCCTTCTGCTGCTCGCAAGCTACTGAGAAAACGCCTGCTGAGCAAGCCTCCATTGGCCCGCACCACTAGCTTTCTCCTTCTCCTCCTTCCGTCCCTGCCCTCTTCCATGATCCTGAAGGTTCACTGTGCAACCTTGCAGCAGAATATTGCCGGGTCACTTGCATGGTATGACACGCTCGTTGATTACTGTTTACCTATCCTTCTCTCCATGTGGCAGAGACCTAAGTCAGAACGAGCTGAGTGGAAGCATCCCAGCATACCTCTTCTCATTTGCGAAACTCGACCAACTGTAAGCGAGAGGCCATGCCTGGGCTGGAAGGAGGAAGGCCCTACCCATCTTGCTTTTTTCGTCCGATTGAGCATGGAGGCATGATCATGAGTGTGAAAAGAATGTGTGAAATGAAATGTGTGCGGGAAGTAATGTGTATCAGTGAGCAAGCAATGGTGCGTATTAGTGAGCGAGCAATTGTGCGTATCAGTGAGCGAGCACCATGTGCGCACAATAAGATACCAACCACCAGTTCACTCGACTCAACTGATCAACCTTCTTTTGTTACTGATTACGGCAGTGTTGTTGTCTTGTTGTGTCTATGCACCCGTCACTTGTGCTGCAGATGGCTTAGCATGAACAAGTTCACAGGATCCATCCATCCCCACAAAGTGACTTTTGGGTCGACTCAAAAGTCACCTTGTTGTGTCTACGCTATGCACCCATCACTTATGCAGATTGCTTAGCATGAACCAGTTCACGGGATCCATCCCCACAACAATCGACAGCCTTACCAACCTCAGACGCCTGTGAGTGGCAACAAGTTAGCTCAATTCCCCTACATATGGTGTCTATATGTGGCTCTGTGTAACTGTAACTTTACACATGTCAATTCCAGATCGTGCAACTTTACCCCTGTGGCACCAGTGATAACACCATCAAAAAGCTATCAGGGCCCCCTCTCCTAATCCACAACCCCCTCTCTCCACTCTTCTTGTCTGCATTCGCTCACTCCTCATGGCCATCAGGTCTCTTGCTTTCAACCAGCTGTATGGAACCATACCGGCCACAACCACCAGCCATGATTTTCTGGTGTCATTGTAAGCTGCATCAACTTGCGGGCGGGCTAGCTAGCCCTCGCACTTGTTTTCGTCCGTGCATTCAGTCGTCCGTTCCGTTGTTCGCGATCCGTTGCATTGCACATTGGTTCCACGTGTGGCTCCCGCACTCGAAATTGGCACACTCGCTATCCTATCTCGCAGTTTTCGGCCCATGCAGTTGCGGTTTCTCTTGGGAACTCTTTTCTTGATATTCACCTACCGAGCGTAAAAGACGCTAATGTCCAGTTTCAACCCTGGGAAATGTCCTCACCTGTCCTCGTCCCTTCTCTTCCACAACCACTCCCCCCCCACGTCTCCCTCCCCCTGCACGTCTCTCTCCCCCTGCACGTCTCCCTCCGCCCTCCGTTCCCCAGCGACCTCTCCCACAACTACCTCACAGGCCCCATAGTGAAGCCCGATACCGGCACCGCTGACCTATCTAACAACTACCTCTCGGGCACACTGACTGGGGAGCCGACTGATGTCTCTGTGGCCGCCAACTGCTTCACGTTGCCTGACGGGGCTACCTGGTCGCCGCAGCGGCCTGAATCAGCATGCCAAGCGTTTTGCGGCATCTCCAAGTTGAATTCCAGTGCTGGTGGTGGTGCTGGTGGTGTTGCCTGTGGCGGCCATGGGCTGTGCTATCCGGATGGACCTAGCTTGGCGCCGACTTGCTCGTGTGACGAGGGGTTCGTTCAGTTTGGAAAGATCTACTGCCTTGTTGAAGGTAAGAGGTTCAAGAGTTTACCAAGAAAGACGCGTAGCTACGGCACGCTACAGACAGCCCAGCATACCCACAGGAGAGCGTAGCACCGCGCAGCACCATACAGCACAGCAGACATCACAGCACATCGCATCACACCACAGCACAACACAGCACAGCAGAAGAGCCTTGGGTAGGCCCTAGTGCTGCACAGACATGTTTGCCCCGATCTGAATCTTGACCTCCGATACCCAGCCAACCAACCAGCACCTTGCACAGATGTGCGCATTCTCGATAGTCTTAAGCCCTCAAGCCCTGAATCCACCTTCGTTCCTCCCCGTCCTTGTTCTTTCCCACCCATCTCATGGGTCCTCATGTGTCCAGGCTCGGTTCTCGCCTCCCCAGTCGACAAGGAGATTCTCCCCTCAGCAACTGTGCTCACTGTGGGGACCAAGAAGGAAGCCAGAGGGAGGTTCATGGAACAGCCAGTGACCCTCTTTGTGTACGACCAAGGCCGGGAGGACCCCGGGTGCGGGTTCGAGCTGGGCTTTAACGTCAACTTCACCTTCTCCCTCTCGCCCAAAGGGAAGGCAGTTTCGAACGGCTTTGCGTTTGTGGTGTCGGCAACAACCACGGTGGGGAGCAGCGATGGCGTGGGGTACGGTGGGATGGATTCCCGAAGCATGGCCATCGAGTTTGATGTTCTCCAAAACATCCAGCATCTCGACATGAAAGATCAGCACGTGGGATTAAACATCAACGGGCAGGACATATCAATCGCGGCTGTGAAGTCCCCATTCCCGTTGGCCAACAAGCAGGCATACACGGCATGGGTGGACTACCAGCCTGGCGATCCCGGCACCATCCAGGTCTTCCTCGCAAAGGAGACAGTGATGAGGGCAAGGAAGAGGGTAGGGAAGAGGATAGTGAAGCGGGTAGTGAAGCAGAGGGCACAGAAGCCGATGAGGCCGCTGCTGGAGAGGCGCCTGTCGCTGTGTGATGTGCTGCAGCCGGGGCCACCTCAAGAGGATCCGCAGGCAGATTACGATGGGCCGCAGGCGCAGCAGGCGTTCTACTTTGGGTTCGTGGCGTCCACCACTGTGCAGCCATTCATGAGCCATGCCATTCTCAACTCGTTCGTGCACGCTGGTAAGATGTTTGACCGCATGGCGATTGCGATTGGACGGCTTTTGAGGCGCCTCAAAAGTCCTCAAAAGAGGCGCCTCAAAAGCCGTTCATGAGCCACGCCATTGCCAACTCGTTCGTGCACGCTGGTAAGGTGTTTGACCGGGTGGCGATTTGTGATTGGACGGTGATGATGGTTGATTGGATTGGAGAGGGTGAGTGGATGGAAAGGGTGGGTGGGTGGGTGGATGACGACTGTAACTGGAAGGTGCGTTGGGATGTGATGTTTTTCTATGTTGTCTGTTGGGGATGTTTCCAGCAGAGACCCAGCAATGACAATTTTAAGGCATTGGATTGTCGGATTGAGGATGGGCTCGGCTCGTGGGATGATGGTGTGGGCAATGAAGGTCATGCTAATGCTGATGTTGCTACTGCTGCTGCTGGTGCTCATGCTAATGCTGGCGGCGTTATCCTGCCATTTGTATCATGGTGGAGATCAGGCAGGGCAATTTATTTCTAGCTCTTGATACGCGCAGCCATTAGTTACCGCTGTGCTTAAAAGGTTCTCGTAAAGGCCCCCTCAACCCCCTACCTGCCACTCCACTGCACCCGCAAGCCCTGATCACACTGCCATCCCAGCATCCCCCTTCCAACGTTAGTGATGGATCAGTAGGGCGACTGGAAGCGTAGGCACCTGGCCAGGCCAGCATTGTAGCTTGTAATCTCCATGTCTAGAACCTATATCTGTACTTCACTCCATTTTCCTCTTCTGTCTCAATTTCTGTCTCTTGCGCGTGTCTCCTCTTTACAGACCTGCCTCCTCCACCCGCCTCAGTCGACGTTCCTTCAGGCAAGTACACTCAACTTAAGTCGTGCCTAGTCGTCTGCTGGATCTTTTGTGATTGAGTTGAGGTTGGGTGAGTTGAAGCATTGCACACCCTGGTCCTGGTTTCATCGAGGAGGCATGGAATCCCGTTGAAAGTTTTGAGGAGGGGATATGTTTCTCCTTCCTACTCCACCTCCTCCTCCTCTCTTTCAGTTCCGTACATGTCTCATAACAGTGTCATGGCATGCCCCTCGACACAACAACATACAGCTTTTGGCATAGCACTATGATTTTGTATTGGTGTTGCTTAAACGCTGAGAAGCCTCTGACTTGCTGGGTACCACTCAGCCTGCTTGCCTTGCCTCTCTTGCCTGTCATCTGGTAACGCTCCTTCTCTGCCTGCCCCTCCCTGTTGCTCCTGTTCACCTCCTGCCTGGCGCTCTCTAACCGTATTCCTGGTCTTTTCTCAAAACATTGAAGCATCTCCCAATCTGCTCACTCCTGCCACTTCACTGCCCCTTTTCCTCCCCCCTTTCGCTGCCGCCCCCTCTCTCTCAATACTCCTTCCAACACTTGCTCCCTCTCAACGCACAGCTCTTGGCCTGAGTCTCACGGTGAGCACGTATGCACCAGCGTGGGCGAGTCCGTTCCCGCGCTATGTGAGTGCGGACTACCGAGTGGCGGCAGGGAAGCAGGACTCGTGGGTCTTCAGGGACCTCCACTCCTGGGACTCCGTGCCCTTCCTCGGCTGGCCCGTCAAGAACCAGGCCGACTGCAGTGAGTGTTATGGGGGGCCTTAGTCGAAAGAAGAGGGGGGGCTGGTCAAAAGGTGAGAGGGATCGCTACGAAAATGGAGAATCATTGTAACCGGTTATTCTGTCAACCGTATCGGGGGTAGGAAATCTATCCCTGGTTGGTTTTTTTAAGTTAAGACTAAAGTTAAAAGCAGGGTCATGCCTCTCATAGCAGCTTCAACCCCTTCGTTCGCATTGCTTCCGATGCACTCTTTCAATGCATGCTGGTCGCATGCCTTTCAGAGAGTTTTCAATTTGAGGACCCCCAATCCGCATTTTTTTTTCTCTTGCTCTCTCTCCTTCAGATGCGTGCTGGGCGTATGCGGTGGTGGCGAGCATAGAAGCAGCATACGGCATCGCAACGAATGCAGAGGCGCCGCAGCTGTCAGTGGAGTCGCTCTTTGCAGCCATGGGGGTCAGCAAAGGGGACAAGTGCACCACTGGGGGCTCCCCGACCGATGCCTTTGAAAAACTTCTTACTCTGCCAAAAGGGGGACTCGCCTTGGACGGCAATCCAGTACGCACAACAAAGTGTGGTAGCAATGGAGTATTGTCGCGATTAAGTGTGACGGAGTACTGTCAGAAGTGCGGAAACAGGTAGCGTTGTTACACAATGTGCACTCGTGCTCTGTCATGTCATCTGCTTCTTCCCACACATTCTGCATGGGTTTAAGCGTCACAGGAATCACCCTATTATGATATTTGAGTGTTTTTCCGTCATTTATGGCATGCGTAATCCGAATGCCACACACATCTGTGAATCGCAGGGGAAAAAGTATCCTATTCAGGGATTCGAGCGCGCATCGTTCAAGGGGTATGTGGGGCTCATGCTGGCAGTGCAGCGGCAGCCAGTGGTGGTTCACATCGAAGCCTCCGCTGACACGTTCGCTTCCTATGACGGGGTATGGTTGACCAGTGCTGGGCATCTTTGTCGAGTGTTTTGGGAATCTGTTGTGTTGTGCACATTCTTTCTTCTGTACACAACACAAGGTGTTTGTTGGAAGTTGTGTGTTCTCTGCGACTTCGTTCTGTTCTGTTGGCCATGTTCACTCAGTAACAATATGGTGAGTGTCCATCGCTGTAAAAGCATTTCATCCTGCATTGTTTGAGAGCCGTGGCCACATTTTTGCTGAGATTTCTTGCATTTCTCGCACTTCTTGCGTTTCTTGCACTTTCTCTTCTCTTCCCCCTTCTCTCTCTCTCACATCCCTTTGCCAGACGTTCAAGTACCAGGACCCTGCCTGCTACAGCGGCAACCTGAACCACGTGGTGCTGCTGGTGGGATATTTCATTCTCCGGGATGACGGCAGTCAGAGCCGCATTGCTCCGCCGTTTTGGATCGTCCGCAACTCGTGGGGCGAGGGCTGGGGAGATAGGGGCCACATGCGCATGGACATTCAGGGAGGTGATGGCGTGTGTGGCATCAACGTGCTGCCTGGCATCTACCCCATTGTCAAGAGTGAGGCCCATCCACTTATTTCTCCACTTCTCACTTCTTGTGAACGACTATAAGCCGCCCGTCACTCAGGAAAAGCCAGAGTTTTCACTTGTTGTGTAAGTTCGCCCAGTTCATTTTTGTTTTTCCCCCGTATTTCCTCCACCCTCGTTATCCCCTTCCAGTCCCGGGGGACCCATGCGGCAGCAAGAGCTACAAGGGCGATGGTGACCTGCAGCCCAGCATGAACCCGTGCGGACGCTTCACCTGCACGGCCATTGCACAGACGGACACCAGCATGTGCACGTGTTCCCTCGCCTCTCAGCCCAAGCAGCCCTTTGTCCCAGTCCTTAGCAACTACGGCGCCCAGACGTGTGCCTATGGTGAGAATCGTGCATTTTCTACATGCTTGGCAAAGATACGCCTGGACGTGGACGTGTGCAGGTCGTACCACCCCCTTCTACCACCCCCTTCTACCACCCCCTTTTCACCCTTAATGGGAGCGGACGTGTGCAGGTCGTACCACCCCCTTCTACCACCCCCTTCTACCACCCCCTTTTCACCCTTAATGGGAGTGGACTTGTGCAGGTCGTACCACCCCCTTCTACCACCCCCTTCTACCACCCCCTTTTCACCCTTAATGGGAGTGGACTTGTGCAGGTCGTACTTGAAGCATCTCTTAGCCTTCAGCCCCGCTCTCATCCCCCGCTACCACCCCCTCTTACCCGGCACGGCAGTGGACGTGTGTGGGTCGTACTTGATTTTTGCCTTCATCCCCCCCATCATCCCCCTCTACCCGACATGGCAGTGGACGTGTGCGGGTCGTACTTCAAGAACCCCTGTGCTGTGGGCACATGCATCAACGATGGCAAGGGCTCCTACTCCTGCATCTGCCCTCCCAACCACGTCCCCAGCCGAACCATCGATGATTTCCCCACCTGCGACCCAGGTTCGGACAAAATGCTGTTCCCTCCCTTGCCTGCCATTCAGGTGCGATCAACTGCTGCTCCCTCCCCGCTTGCCACCCAGATGCTTCCTCTTCCCCTCTCCGTGCACAAGGCATCTGGCCTCTTGATGTTTTCCACCATTGTTTGCCCCTTACGTTCCCCATTGCTTATCCAGCCACTTGAGAACCATGTTGTCTGCTGCTTCGGCAGGGCTTAAGATTTCCGTGACGCTTCTTGCCTCTCTTCCCCCGTGTGCGACGCTGCTTGACCTGCAGTTAATGCCAGCGCCACCACCATGACAGTCGACGGAGACAATTGGTCATGCAGCAATGTGCATCCTGTGCTTGGCGTCACGCTCGCGCAGTTCAAGAGCAGCAACTCTGTAAGCGGGGGGGGGGGGAGGCTGGCGTGAGTCGTAGTAGTAGGGTGGGCGGCCGGGCAGAGGCGCTAAGGTTTGGGAGGAGCAGGAGGCGTGGATAGAGCTGGGATGGATGCAGTCAGGCGGTGCATGGAGGTAATGTAAGAACCGATAAATTGTATAAGAGATAGGCGAGCCAGTGTACATAGTTGGATGAGAAAACTGGGGGGCTGGTTTGGACCTTGCCAGCATTATTGTGCAGCACCAGTAAGTTGGGCTGGAAAATTATTTGGGGGTCCCAGTAATCTCGGTCAAAGGTGAGCCAATATTATTGGGGGTCCATTCATCTCCAATCCAAGCTTGGGGGGCAGTTTATTGGATTGGACCAGAATTTGACTTCCTACCCCAACTAATGGCGAGCCTTGGTTATGCACCCAAACTGAGTTCAGGTGCCTAAATCGTCTCAAGGTATCGAGTAAGGCGATTGACGGATAATGGGTGTAAAAGTAGGGGTTGGAAGAGTTAGGGATGGCACGTTGCAATAGCGGCACTGCAGGAGCAATGGGTTTGCATATGGGCTTGTTTGGCTTCTCCTTAGCATGGGAGCTGCCTTTGCAATCAAAGCTTTTCATGATTGTTCTCCCATGCTTATCCACCTCAATGCAGGATATAAACTGCAACCAGCCTTTGCCTAGAGGAACGGTGCTTCAAATCGCAGGCACTCCCTCCATCCCCTGCACTGCGTTCTTCTACACCCTCAATGTGAGCTCCACGACCCCAAGGTTTGCTTTTGAGTCGACTCAAAAGGAGCTCCAATTTTCCAAGGTTAAGGCTTTTGGGCCGCCTCAAAAGGCGTTCTTCTACACCCTCAATGTGAGCACCAAGATCCCAGGGTTCATATAGTGCTGTGCCTAAAGTCTTTACTCCTCCCATACTGTTTCTCTGCCTTTTGTCCCAACTTTCAACAACTGCCCAAGTCATGAAGGTTTGCCTCCAGCACCATGCATCACCAGCTTCACCTAGTCGGTCTTTCTGCCACATCAGCATCAAACCTAATCATGATTGTTTCTACTCCCATCCTCTCCCATCCCCTCCCATCCTCTCCCATCATCTCTCAACCCTTCGCATCCCCTCTTCGCCTCTCTCCATGGCTGCCTCTCTCTCCCCACCAGGGCGACACGTGTCAGTCCATTGCCACCTCCATTGGTCGCACAAAAAACGATCTCATGACTCTCAACCCGGGCCTCTCCTGCACCCAAGCCATCAAGCCCGGCCGCTCCCTCTGTGTGGAGCGCAACGCCACATACGCCTACACGGCCCCCAAGTGTGTCAAGTACGCCACTCTCACAGCGCAGGACACCTGTGAAAGCCTGCTAAAGGGGTCGAAAAACCCAAAGATTGAGCCCCACTTCTGGGCTGAGCTCTACCGCAACAACCCCGGGCTTGTCTGCTCCAACACCGTCCCTGGCTCTGCCTCAGCTGTCGGCAGCAACATTGGCGTGCAGGTGAGGGGCAGGGGGGACGGAGGTGAGGGAAAGGGATGTGGGGGTGACAGGTGGAGGGGAGGGAAGTTGGGAGGCCGTAATTGCAGTTGTCAATATCTGCTTTGCCGGGCTTTCTTCCTCCCAAGAACCTTGTCTCCCTTCCCTCTGCACGCATCTTGCTACCCCAGGTGTGCCTCAGGGCGGAGTACTGGTCGTTTGAGCTTGGAAGGTGCGAGAAGGGCCGGGAAAAGACGGTGTCGCCATCGCTCACATGTTCCGGTTCTTACAGATTCTATAACCGCAATATGACCATTGCAGCGAAGGACTTCTTTACATATAACAAACAGTACTGTGCCAAAAATGTTGGATCCAATTACATCTGCGTGCCAAGATGAATGGGTGTAATGAATATATTGTAATTAGCTGAAATATGCCTTCAACATTTGTGTATTATAATCTACCTGTATATTAACTATTGTTACCGCCCAATCGTGGCTCCAAACGAGGCCTACTATTGGAAGGTGCTAAAAACATTGTGCTGAAAATGGGCTAGTCCTTATGTTCACGTGCCTTGGTGAATATATCAGCAGTGTTGGCCCGAGTGGCCACGTGTGCAAGACGAAGCTGACCACGCTGCTGAAACTCTTGAGCCAAGAAGTAACGCAGAGCGATGTGCTTCGTTCTGTGCTCCAGGCTGTGCTCCTGACACAAGGCAATGGCGGCCTTGTTGTCGACGTACAGCACTGGAGGAGAACGAGGCCGCTCTCCCAAGTCGGTCAGCAGGTAGGTGAGCTAGCGTAACTCCTGTGCAGCCATGGCTGTGGCGTAGATCTCAGCCTCACAACTGGAGCTGAGAACTGAAGACGAGCGTGTAGAACGCCAAGAAACTGAACCAGAGCCAAGGCTGAAGGTGTAACCCTGTGACGACCGCTGCGTAGCCTGGTCGTCAACCCAAGAAGCGTCCGAGTGAACAGTGAGGACAACGTCGCCCCGTCCTCCAAGCACGAGCCCCATGCCCGATGTACTGCACAAGTAGCGTAGTACCCTCTTAGCAGCATCCATGTGCACCTTTCGGTGCCGACCAGGAGCCACGTAGCGAGCCAGAAGGCCAAGAGGGTACGCAAGGTCAGGACGAGTGCAGGTCATCAGGTACATGAGGCAGCCCACTAGCTCTGGGTAAGGACCACTCGGCTCTACAGACTCGTCCGAAGGTGGAGCTGAGAGCGAGTGACCTGTAGCCAGAGGAGTGGCCTGTGCCGAGGACCAGGTGAAGTTGAAGCGCTGAAGGACCTGCTGCACCATGTGTGACTGAGTCAGTGTGATGGTGCGCCGTGCTTTGTCCCGGGTGATCTGCAGGCCAAGGTAGCTGCGCAGCTCACCCAGGTCTGTGCACGTGTGTCTCTTTTGCAGCTCCGACTTCACGAGGGCGAGAGCCTCAGTGTCAGCAGTGGCAAAGAGCAAGTCGTCGACGTACACGAGGATGTAGAACGGCGGCAGCGAAGTGTCGGTGCGCAAAAACAGCGACGGGTCAGCAGTCGACGGAGCAAACCCAAGAGCCGCAAGTGTAGTCCTCAGTGTGTCGTGCCACTCACGCGGCGCCTGGCGGAGACCGTAGACTGGCCGCCGGAGGCTCCACTGGGTACCAGGAGGTAACGACCCAGTGAAGCCAGGTGGGCGGCGCAGCCAGATCTCCTCGTGCAGGCTGCCCTGTAAGAAGGTCGTGCTGAAGTCAAGAGAGTGAAGCTCGTAGTCACGCTGAGCAGCAACGTGCAGCAGCACCCGAAGAGTAGTCATCTTCTGGGTGGGGAAGAAGGTCTGGAAGAAGTCGACTCCCTCCCTCTGACTGAAGCCTCGAGCAACGTAACGAGCCTTGAAGACAGGCGGAGAACCTGGCGACCGCTTCACCCTGAAAATCCACATGCCACTGACGATGTTCACCCCAGGAGGGGGAACCTCGTCAACGTACGTGCCTGTGGACTTCCAGGATGCCATCTCTGCGTCCATGGCTGTCTACCACTAAGAGGAGTACTCACCCGCGATCGCCTCAGCGTAAGAGCGCGGGGTCGGAATGTCTGGAGCATCCGGGTCTCCCTCAGGGGCAAGCAGCATGGACACGAGATGAGGCGCAGCGGCTGCAAGACACTCAAGGTCCTCTTGCCTGTCCTCAAGGACGTCCGTGCTAAGAGCACACTCACCCCCGACGGACGGAGGACAGACAGACTCAGACTCAGCAACAAGACTAGCGGCGTAGTCTAGACGACACGCAGCAGCAAAGTCAACAAGCTCAGCGACTAAGGCAGACGCGTAACAGTAGGGTGAGCCGCACGGGTGCGGTCAGACTCAGGTTCAGGAACGGTAGGCAGAGAAGACGCAGGAGGGGACGGCAGGGGAACACGCTGCGGAGGAGAGGAAGGACGACGGACGACGAGGTGGGTGCCGGAGACAGCCGGCTGACGCGAACGAGGGACACGACGACCGGAACGACCAGAACGGACAGGCGAGACAGGACGCGACGCAGGCTCACGACGCTCAGTAAGACCCCCTGTCTGCTCAGTGTCAGGAGAAGGAGCAGGCAGTGGTGAGCCGGGCTGTAACGGAAGACCAGTAGACGAAGGGAGACTAAGAACCTGGCGAAGCACAGAGTCAGGCGGTGGCAGGGACGACGGAGACGGAGGAGCAAAGAACAGGCGCGGCTGTGGAGTGCCACCAGCACCAGCAGCTCCAGTACCCCCAGCAGCTCCAGCACCTCCAGCAGCTCCAGAACCCTCAGCGCCAGCTCCTCCAGGACCAGCTCCACCAGCAGTAGCACCCCCAGAACCGGCACCTCCAGTCCCAGGGTCTCCAGCCTCAGTGTCTCCAGCAGCAGCACCCTCAGGCTCAGCACCTCCAGCCCCAGCAGCTCCAGTACCCCCAGTACGAGCACCTCCAGGACCAGGACCACTCCCAGCTCCAGTGACGTCAGCAGAAGTACCTCCAGCGGCAGAGCCCCGAGCTCCAGAAGCGCGACCCTGACGGCGACCGTACCAGTCGTGCAGCTGCTGTGAGGTGAGAGGCACACGCGGACGAAGGCGGCTACTCCAAGGAGACCGCACAACAGCAGACTCAGAACCCTCAGCGCCAACACCCTCAGCAACTCCAGAACCTCCAGCTCCAGCGCCACCAGCGCCAGCACCTCCAGCAGCTCCAGAACCTCCAGCGCCAGCACCCTCAGCAGCTCCAGAACCTCCAGCAGAGACAACTCCAGTAGCAGAGTCACCAGCTCCAGCGCCTCCCGCAGCAGGGCCCCTAGCTCCAGCAGCGAGACCCTGACGGCCAACGTACCACTCACGCAGCTGCTGTGGGGAGAGAGGGAGTCGACGACGAGAGTGGAGCGGAGAGGCACCAGCGGAGCGACTACGGAGACGGCCGCTCCAAGGAGACTGCTCACTAGACGCCTCAGCGCTCGCAGGTGCAGCAACCCCAGACTCCTCACACTCAGGCTCAGCACCTCCAGGCTCTGCACCCTCAGGCTCCGCACCCCTAGGCTCAGCACCCCCAGGCTCCGCACCCCCAGGCTCAGCACCCCCAGGCTCAGCACCCCCAGAAGTAGCACCCCGAGCAGGACCACTCTCAGGAGGACCTGAGTCACCAGTGACCTCAACCGGCGCAGTCAGAGGAGGAGGGTCTACCTGAGACACACCTGAAGGAGCAGGACCAGGAGCGGGGAGGGGGTCTACCTGGGGAGCACCTGGAGCGAGGAAGAGCGGCGGGGGGGGGAGAGGGGAAGTGCGGTAGGAGAAGAGACGGTAAAAGGGAACCGACTCGTCGAACGTGACGTCCTGAGAGGGGAAGACACGGCGCGAGGTGGGGTGGTAAAACTGCCAACCAGGCGCGTCAGGGACAAAGCCAAGGAAGACACAAGGAACAGCGCGGGCGGAGAGCTTGTCCGCGGTGGTATCGCGGACAAAGGCACGAGCACCCCAGACCCGGAAACGTGACGCATTGCCAACCTTCCCCGTCCACAGCAGTGTGGGCGAGGTCTCCGGCAAGGAGACACGGGGCCAGAGGTTGAGCTGATGCGCGGCGTACCGGACCGCAAACGGCCACAGAAAATGGGGGGCAGCCGCATGGATCATGGAGGTACGAGCGACCTCCATGACTAAGCCAATGCGGTGCTCAGCAACCCCATTCTGCTGCGGAGAGGCCGGAAGCGTGAACGTCTGGCGGATGCCGTGCTCCGCACAGAAGGCTGCCAAGAGGTCTGAGGAGAACCCACCACCTCTGTCAGAGTGCAGACGCAGGACAGGAAAGTCCGTCCCGAACCGCTCGCGGAGCTGGAGACGAACAGCGCGGATCCAAGAGATCACAACATTAGGGACCTCCCCCTTGCGCTGCAAGGGGAAGACCGTGGTGTAACGCGTGTAGCCGTCGACGACCAGCAGGAAGTACCGCTCGTGGCCCTGTCCACGGACGCGGGCTGGGCCCCACACGTCCAGGTGGAGAGTCAGCAGGGGAGCCTCTGTGGGAGGGAACGAGGAGGAGTGAGGAGCGGCGCGCTGCCGCCCCTCGACACAGGGAAGACAGGGAGGAGCATGCGAGGGTGGGAGGGGAGGGAGAACCCTGGGAAAGACCAGAGACAAGGAGACGGCGGTGCATGCTACAAAGGCGCTGCACCGAGGGGTGACCAAGACGGTGGTGCCAAAGGAGGGTCTGGTGTGACAAAGCGCGACACGAGCAGGGGGCCGCTAGCTGACCTGACGCAGACGCAGACGCAGACGCAGCGACCTGAGGGGACACAGTAGTCAGTGTGTACAAACTCGAGCCAGGCGCACGGGTAAACGTGGCCAGGTGCCGGCCCGTCCGAGAGCACGTACAGTGGGTCACGCGCTGACCTCCAGGAGTGAACTGGTCAACCCACTGGTCCTGGAGGTCAGCACCACTCACCAAGTTCGTAGAGAACGAGGGGAGGTGAAGACCTGACAGGGAGCCAGACGGGACCGCCGGACACGGCAGGACCGTGGAGGAGTGCGCAAGGACTGGACCCCCGAAGGGGTCTGCCAGGGAGACTGGAACCGGCCGGCTGAGCGGCGTGAGGGTGGTGCTGTCGCGAAAGAAGGAGCGGGAAGCACCTGAGTCAAGTGTGAAGGTGTACAAGGCCTGAACAGGCGCAGTACCAGAGAGCGCAGACTCACCAGCACCTGGAGCAGCAGCCTCACCAGCACCCAGAGCAGGAGACGCACT